TATCGACATAGACATGCAGAATGTCATTACCCCTCTTGTAGCATACCTTTTTACTTTACCAAGTCTTCAAATGGTTCGTCTGAACGCCATGACGGATTCATACAAGCTGGCCGAAGAAAATATAAAATGGCCAGTTCAGAAGCAGTCTTCGTCAGTCTCGACGCTCATACTCTACGGCGTCGACATCCCGTGTACATGGACGAAGCTCATGATCACTTCCTGCAAACAGCTATCAAGATTTGAGTATGCCGGTCCGAAGTATCACGGGTCAACATATATTCTACCGAACATCATGTCCAGTCTTGAGCAGCAGCAAGACTCGCTGCGGGTTCTACACCTTGCTCCGAAAGATGATGACTGTTGGGATGAGCCAGATGTAAGCCACGCGCGCGTCGATGGGTTTCACCGATTACATGCCCTGGAAAATCTCTCTACATCATTTCGAGTTCTGCTTGGTACATCACCTATGAACTACACCGGCGAAGGAAATTGGAAATACCCTCGGATGCGGGATGTACTTCCCCATAGACTACAAGAGTTATTTCTGTCTACAACGGCTACGATGGTATCCCACAACTACCATGATGGATATTACGATCTCTTCAACAGCGCTCTTCCCCTACAAGCAAATGGTCTATACTTGAAGAAGATCCGCGTAGCATACTCAGACATGATCACAGGCGCTCATTCGTTGCCCTTCAATTTCTGAGACATCAAGAACTCATACGTTGCACACGGAGTGGAGTTTGACTACTCTATATCCATCAGCGCAGATCGAGATGGTACGTGAGCCTTCAATCCAGCCCTTCCCGTTCATCCATTTACCGCAAATGCTATTAGCAAACGTTCGGGTATCGGCATTACTTTGTGTCAACGTTTGTCACTGGCTTGACTTTATATCACTAACGCTTTTACATAGAGCCGGAACTATCTCTTGCAGATGCGCACATTAGCGATATGGTTTCCATGCTCAAGAGTTACGGGCCGAAGGCAGTCGAAATGGCTCATCACTTCAGTTGTTTCGGAAGCCAAATAGTGCAGAAATTGCTATCTGAACTAGGCTATCCCACAGATTGGATAAGCAGCGAGGCAGGCCGGAAGTATATGTTCGTATCGTGAGCTATTTATAAGATTAGCATCACTAGCAAGACCCTGGTTCTCCGATTTCCTTCATCCTGCTGAGTAAGACCGATGCTTGTTGGGGTATACGAAAAGCTTAAGTTTTGCTTATTGAACGGGACCATCGCACCGAGCCGGACGTCTCCGTTCTGTAACGTAGCATCGTATGCCTGAAGATCTCCCGTGTCAGACATATTTTGGGGGTGAAGCAACGACCCATATCCCCGTTCCTTCCTTCCAATACACCAAAACTCAAACTATGACGTCGCAACTACTACATCCACACTTCGTCTCACTAACGGAATCTCGCTCCGAAAGAATAATCCCACCTGCAAGCGAAAACCCTCATCGCAGCCCAACCCCACGGAGCGCCACAATGCCCTCAGGTACATGACACTTGTACCTCCATCTCTACCACCAGAACCCACAATCTCGTTCTTTTTTCGCATCGACGATGAAAGGGCGCATCGCATGTGATGTATATACAATGTTCTAGTGTATTTCCACGCACAGCCCACCCCAATCTAAGATATATTGCGAGCATACCCCAATAGCGCCGTTTTCGCGGATCAGCTACCTATATCAGCCGGTTGTTATTACCACGTGAGGGAATGCGCACCTTGGCGATCGGACGGTATGGACTATGTGGGGCCAAGACTACCGTGCGCCGTGTTTGTGGTAGTGTGTGTGGGATGTAGTGGGTAGGTAGTACTTGCGAGGATGGTGGGTGCGATGGTGGGATCTGGACCTTGGGGGCGGCTGGTGAGCCGGCTGTGTGGTAGGTGGTCGATAATCGTTATCTGAGACTTGTATTACCACCGAAATATGGGATTTCGTTTTGCTGACTGTGTTATTGGATTACGTTGATGTCACATGCAAAATTGGTCCAAGGTTGAGGTTGACGTGATGATGCTGTTTTCTTTTTTGCTGTTTTGCTTCCATTGCAACGAAATTGAAAGTGAATCAAGAAATGCCCTATGTCTGCCCAATGCACCTCTAAGAGAAAGTCCAAAACTCCATCCGCAAAATGCGCAATGCCGCTATATTCCTCAACAAAATGTTGCTCACATCTCTGTCCTCTGTTGAACCGACCCGTCTCCGTCTAAGATTGAGTCCGTATCGAAACTCTAAAAGTCCCAAAGTGTGCCGAAAGCATGCATACCTTCTTTGGCACACCCCTGCATCATCTCATCGTTGCCCTGGCTGTTGCTCGTAATGAAGATGACCTCAGCGCCGAATCTCTTCCATGTATCTCTCAACAACTCCATTGTGTCCGGGCGGCCACCCCGCTTCTTGCTGTCCCAGAGAATCATGCGCTCGGGCTCGATGTGCTTGTGGATGAGACCTGTGACGGTGGGGCCGAATGTGCGCTCTTGGTCAGAGCCGATCCAGATGAGGAACCAGTTGGGGGATTGGATGCAGGTTGAAAGGGCGGCGCCGATGCCAGTACCGGTGCAGATACGGATGCCGCGTTTGAACATTGCAGAGGCGTGGCCGACGCCGGCTGTGATTGTGTTAGCAATGGAGATGCAGATAGAGTTATGCAAGAACATACCGAACTTGAGCTGGCGTGTCCATACAGTCTTTGGTGGATTGGCGACGAGGTTCTTAGTGAAGTCTCCTTGAACACCACAGATCATGTAGTGATGAGTAGCCTTGCGTCCCTCGCTGATGATGCCGAACGCGTGGTACTCCATTATGGACGTGCGGCTAATTCTTCCTAGAAGACCTTGCTGCATGCCGCGCTCGAACTTGAGGACAGCGACTTTTGGTGAGGGGATCTCGACTTCGACTGGCACCTCTCTGAGGGTGACCCATGGGATGAGGATGCTATAACTAGTCAGTAGGAGAAGCTGATAGAAGTATAGGCGCTCTTACAATACTGTCATGAAGACAGCGAACCATAGCTCTTGTGCACTGAGTAAGCTGTGGGCGTCGGTCCTCCACTCGCCACGCTTGATGTCGTAGGTGTTGCCCAGGACCACGAAAACCCATGTCATCTAGCGGGCGTTAGTATGAGTTCTCGGAAGAGCGCAATCGGGATGCATACTGCGAGGCCTAGCCATCCAACAAAACGGTGATGCTTCTCGAAGACATTGTGATAGGTGCTGACCAGGGCGTAAGCATGGTGTCACAGAGTTACACGTCCGTTGGAACTACTCACTTGCGAACCCAAGGGAAGGCGCTCAGGACCGAGATGATGATGAAAACGTTGGTGATGATACCGCTAGCGATCACAGCAGGGTGCTGTACGGCACGATATTTGATGATGTCGACGCACTTGTAGATGAGCCAACTGGGCTTTCTGTTAGTACTATCTGCAATGGATATATGCAGGTCTACTCACGCAGCCCCAGACAATGCGCATCCAGAATGTATCCCCCCAACGTGCTGCAGGACAGATGTTGCAGCTAACTTTACGCATACGGGTGCCCACTACAATGACTGGTCAGAAATACTCGTGATAGAGCCAGGGGACGTACATACCCCTAGTCCGTATATGGCGACCATGTATAAGAAGCGCATCCATAGCTCGTTTCTGAACAAGATGGCGGAGAGTAGGTTTCCCAGTACCAAAGCACCGAGGTGTTCCTCGCCATATTTGAAGCGACCACATGCTGTCAAGACGATCCCCGTGAGGTTGAGTGAGACGACGAATACGAAAAACTTCCTGTATGTATTGAACCAGAGGTCAAAAAGGATCCACCGGCTGATCTTTGGCTTTTGAGGTTTGGCTCCTGCCGGTTTCTTCACGGTAGTGTCCAGTGCAGCAGCATCTGTAGGTTTCCGTCCCTTTGGCAGTGAGAGTGAGAGCTCCGGTACGCTTGTGCATGGTGTTATACCTTGATGAACAGGAGAAGCGGGGAGCAATGACGAAACAGTATATGCCGACCTCTTCGGCTCCATATACACAAAGCCAGGTGCGGTCAACTCCAGTGTACTATCGTACATGCCCTTTTCTGCATCATCGAGCGAATCATCGCTACGATGGCTAGTAAGAGGGCTCTTCGGTGTGAGTGACATATTGCTGGTACGCGGGAACGAGACCAGGGTCCGAGGAGATGGGCGGGAGGACGGTAACCTTGGAAGGCAAGGGCAACTGACAGGTGACGTTGGCCAAATTGGTAACAACGCAGGAGCGTTCGAGTGAACAAAGATTGGTAATGAGCACAGGCTAGACTGGGTGCTCTCAAGAAGTACTTATTGGGGAAGCAGCCATGAGGCGCACTGTCGTGTCATCTGGATCATCAAACCTTGCGGCGACACCATCCACAATTCATCTCTGGAGTATACGGTACCAATGTCCGTAAGCATCACAGTCAGACGAGCCCGATGATGGCACATTGTCCCAGACCAGCTTCCGTCGATCCCGGATAGATAGCTACCCAGCTGAACCAGTTGGCGGTCGGCGCCTCCACTCCGTGCTCAGCTCGTGAGGGATTCCCCGTGGGGAGGGCAAGGAAACCCGGGACGGGGACGGCCTATGTCGGTAGTTTCTGCTCAACGTTGGGTTAGGAAGACAACCCCACAGCCTCGATATCGATCCGGAGACTTCTCTCGGCCGTGACGACGTCGTCATAACGCATCCGATATTACGGTCGTACAGATATGTCGGCAGGCTAGGATCACGCGACGAAGGTGGAATATTGCAAGAATATACTAGGGGGTCAATGCGGTGGCTTCGGTGTGACGGCTGGAAGTAACTTTTGGTGAAAAAGACAGGGATATAGAAAGCAGTAATAAGGCGGAAGCGCACGTTCCCGATTTCGGGAGGTCTCTCAACCGCGTCTAGTTGCATTAGCGACGACGCGATAACGCGATAGTCAGCCATGCCGAGGCGCGCCCATCGCGAAGTCACTCAATCTAGCTAATCTTGATTTCTAGTTCTTCACGTACAGATCGACGTACTCGTCGATGTCCATGCTATCGAGCGACTTGGGGTCCTGCGCTAACGCGACGAGCTTGTCAACGTGTTGCGACGGGTAGTGCGGGCCGAGATGCCTCTTGAACTTGGCAAGAATCTCGGGCTTTGCTTCCTCACGACGCAACCGATGGCCAAGCGGAGCCTCGACAACCTCTTCCTCCAGCACGGTTCCGTCCTTGAGCGTTACGGTCAAGGCGTTGGAGATGGTGCGCTTCGCAGGATCGTGGTAATCCTTGGTGAATTGCGGGTCCTCTACACAGCTAATGCGCTGGCGGAGAGACTCGACGAGTTCCGATGTAGCAGCTTCGCTGTCATCTGGGTAGTCAGTGGCTTCAAGGCGGTTGAAGACAAACATGGTGGAGACCATGTACTACCATCATGTCAGCACAGCCGGCGAACCACGAAGGGTGAGACTTACTTGAACGCAGTGATCACGGTCAGCAAAGTTCTCCATAGGCTTGAACTGCTTATCGATGATACGAATGCAGGCTTCATGCGTTCGGTTCACTACACCCTCAATGTCTTTGGCGCTCTTACCCATCGCAGCCAGCTTCTTGTTCAGGCGCTGCGCCGCTTCGACCGCAGTCTGTGAGTGGAACTCAGCTGGATCAAATTAGTAAATGGCTCACGAGTAGCATTGACCTGAAAGAGTCGTCTTACCCGGATAAGAAACCTTGAAGAGAACGTTCTCCATGACGTAGCTGCCGTAGCCTCTCTGGAACTGGAAGGGCTTGCCGCCAAAGTTGACGTCGTAGAAGCCCCAGGTAGGAGCTGAGAGAACTGTAGGCAGACCCTGCTCACCCTTCATGACCTTCAGCACAAGGTTGACGGCGGTCTGGCAAGCATCACCAGCGGCCCAGGACTTGCGCGACATGGTGTTGGGCGAGTGCCTGTAGGTACGCATAGACTGGCCATCAACAAACGCTTGCGAGATGGCATCCCGAGTCTGAGCCTCGCTGAGACCCATCATCTTGGAAACGACAGCTGTCGAGGCCAACTTGACCAGAATGACGTGGTCCAGGCCGACCTTGTTGAAGGAGTTCTCTAGGGCCATGCAGCCCTGGATTTCGTGTGCCCTGATCATGGCCTCGAGGACATCTCTGACCTTGAAGATCTTGCCATTGCCGAGATTGCCTCCAGCCTTGTTTGTTCGTGTAATCCAGTCGGCAGTTGCGAGGATCGCTCCCAGGTTGTCGGAGGGGTGGCCCCACTCGGCAGCTAGCCAGCAGTCGTTGAAGTCGAGCCATCGGATCATGGCACCAATGTTGAAGGCGCCGTTTATGGGGTCGAGCTGGTAGTTGGTACCGGGCACTTTGCAGCCGTTGGGGACAGTCGTGCCTTCCACAGTGGGACCCAGGATCTTCCTGCACTGCTCGAACTGCAGCCCCTCGAGACCGCAACCGAGCGTGTCAACGAACACCCAGCGGGCGGTGTCGAACTATATGAAGCTTGATTAGCCGCGATAATCGCTGAGAGCGCAATTAGCTTACCGCAAGCTCGGAGTCGATGGGGGTGTTGTGGATGTAGTTTGCCATGTCCTTGATCTCAGGATCATACTCGCGCTTGCTCAGCGTCTGAGGCATGGAGCTCTTGAGGGCCGTCATGGTGGAGAAGGATGATGCGGTTGCTGTGCGCGAAGTGATTGGGGTGGAAGGAGCAGTTCGCAGGGCAATTGGCCTTATGGCTCTCGATACGACGCTGGACCGTGATCGGAGGTTTCGTGAAGCGGTGCTGCACAGGTTGCGACTGAAGGCCGACATGTTGATTAGCGTCTGTCGTGCCGGACGACGTCAATGCAGCTTTGAAGAAAAGGGACAGTCGTACTTCGCGCTTTTGAGGGAACTGTAGGTCTTTGAGGAAGTTCAGGACATGAGCATCGCTCGGCTCGCAGAATTCGGGAGGATGGATAGACCGCCGTCAACCGAGGCAGTACATATCCGCCATCCGCACGGAAATGTCTTGCAGCGCCAGCGTGACAGGCTTCACGATGATATTCTCTCACTGCAGATGTCTTTGATGATAACACTACGCTTACATGGCTGCCGTCGCGACTTCATTTTTTGTGCGACTGTCTGCCCGCAATCTACTTGACTTGCTACCCCGCATCATCCCGCACATGTGCGCGGCAGGTACGCTTCGGCTACGGTGGCTGGGTCCCGCTTCCACATGCCTGCAAGGCCGCAGAGCCTCCGAAAACTAGACATTGAATCGTCTTTCTAGATCCTCCAACTCATCATCGACTTCCCGGTCAAGCGCTTCTCCCGCCGCTCTGATACTTTCCAATTCCTCTTCTGTCCTGGCAAAATCTTCAACTTGCAGCACCTGGTCCCCGACAGGAAAGCGGCATACATCAATCGCACCATCAAACGCTCTATCAGGACGCTTTACAGCATGTTCTCTATAGCCAACCAGCATGCCCAATCTGCCCAGCCTCAGCATCCATCGCCTGACTTCTGCAAGTTGATATCCAATAGCCAATAACAAGGAGACTTCCAAGAGGATATCCTTCTCCCTTGAGAATGCACCATCCTCATCGACACCATTGATGAACGCATGGCTTCCAACGTACCAGAGAGTGAAGATGTAGTTCCAGCAACAACGCGACGCGGAAGCAACGGCGCAAAGCCTTCCGGACAGCAACTGCTCGTTCTGCACGCTGTAGTCGGCCGATAGATGCTGGGCGACAAGGACGCAGTTCTTCAGACGGTATGCCATGAGATGTGCTGTGCCGTCTCTAGAGTAAAGCTGCGTTTCGCGATACAACGCCGATGCGAGAATAGCATCGCGCAGGGAACGATCCAAGCTTGATTGCTTCTGTATGTCATATATAATGAATGAACGGTACGGCAGCTGAGATAGAGTCAGGTGCTGATGCAACACTCGCTGTATTTCCTTATCAAAGGTATCTAGTCTGAAAGTCAGTTCTTGGACGTTGCAGTCAATGTATTCTTGTACTCACCACACACGAGCCGCATCTCTAGCACCTTACGCATGCCATAACATTGCCGCTCTTTGTGCTGCAAGTATGGGCCGACGAGATAATCAATGATCTGACTCCACAGCTCCACCGGCAAAGCTTCCACACCATTGAGACATGATTGCGGAATCTGTCTCAACCTCTCTTTCGTCTCTTGCGCAATTCTCGATTTTTCTCGCCCTCTCTCAATCATGCGAATGGTGTATACGGCGGGGAAACTGATGGCGCAAATACCATCCATGAATGCATTGAAGATTGAGATCGGGATCTCGGGGCTGATATAATACCGTTCTTGCAGGAAAATATACAAATTCCTAGAGCCCAAAGTTTTGCCATCAGGATACATTGCGGTAAAAGAGCATGCTGGGCTCACCAACTCGCGGGTGCGATGGTACAGAGTTAACGAATCCTGGTGCCTGATTTCCCAGCCATCGAATACGCGTCCGTGCTTGGCTACCCGTCGCTCCTTCCACAACTTCAGAATAAGTAAACGGCGGCTCTTCGGTTAACTCGTGAAAAGAATTTCAAGACTCATTACCATGAACACTATCCTTCTATTGAATTCTCTCGTTCGAAAGCCCCTAAGTAACTTGAAGCAGGAAACCTTACCTGTCCCAATACCTACATCACCCCTCGCCGGCATCGTCGCCCTCCCTACGGAACTATGGAGCATCATCATCGATTACACTATTTTACAGCTCATAAACGATGACAAAACTCCGTTAGACGAGCTCACGCCAGCACTTGATCTGCGACTTATATGCCGTGAGTCCCTGCTCTGCACAAAGACACTAACGCAGTCGGGCCAACTGATTCCTATTCCAGGGATATTCAACAAAGAAGTTTTACACGCCTTAAACACGAACATAACACTTGCGGACTTTCCTCGTATATCATCCACCTACTTGCTCCTTTGGTGGTCTCATACGCAACGCAAATCCGGCCTCCATACTACCCTCTTTACCTCTGCGATTCTGAACACAGCTCATACAACAAACCTCCCTATCGTCTCTCAAGAGCTAGCTGCGCGTCTTCTGAATTGTCTCACAGTAGCCGAGAGTCTGTCCAGATTACATCACGCGCCATTTCATGAATACATCGGAAGCCTGGAAGAACCTCCGTTGTGGGATTTCTATACGGTGGATAAGCTGCACCGACTTTGTCATGCAGCAGCATTGTCAACCTGTTGTCAAGAGTACATGTGCCGGCCTGAACAGTTTTACGCTAGACATAGGGAAGAGGGGAGGCTAAAGGCAGATGTGTGTCTAGAGGTTGCGCTGTTGGCGGCTTGTGGATATGAAGTCAAGAGGATTAAGAATGTAATGGTTCGGCTAGCGAAGGCAGGGGAACTAATAGGGCACGAGACGGTGTCCAAGAGGTGAAGACGATGGTTTTGAAGACGAAGAATATACTTTATCATTCTTGGTATCAACTAACTCTCTCACACCAATCAGCCAAGTGGCTCTTCTCTCAAGATTGATTTTGGCGCTTCTGCCACTGTGGATCACCCAGATACACGTTCTCATAACTCTTTCCACATCCTCATATCGTCTGACTGGGTGTCGCAGGTGCCTCGGCGTTGGGATAAGGTCGTGGTTGGCTTGGCTTGTCGATTTGTCGCTACTTCTGAATTCTGCACGTTTACCAATCATCTTTGTCGGACTCATCGTCTGTAAACACGTCAATATACTGCTAATCCAGCAAGAATGATTGTACTTACCGCTGTGACTAACTTTTGACTTCCTTGCCGCAAGAGCACTAGCCAGTGCTCCAGCCAAGCCAGCATCTCCAGGTTGAGCTGCACCACTGGCTCCTCCAGAAGCTCCTCCAGCAGGTTCCGCACCAGGAACTGCCGCTGCACTGCGGTCCTTTTTCTCTGTATCTGAAACCTTCTTCAACCTCGCTCCTCCTCGGATGTCCGCTAGCAAGCCGTCTCGGCCTGGCGCTGGTTTGGGCAGAGGCGCGCCGCCGCTCGGTGGGGGCGGTGGGCCAGGTGGAGGTGGTGCCACAGCGCTTCGTGAAGGCATTGGCGGCGGCGGAGGAGGCACAGAGCCAGGAGGCATTGGCGGTGGCGGCGGTGCGCCTGTGCTTGGCATAGGGGGTGGAGGAGGTGCTGAGCTGTTAGGCATCGGTGGAGGAGGAGGGATCGATCGTCCGGGCATGGGCGGCGGCGGAGGTGGTGTCGGTGCTACATTGCTTGTTGGTGGCAGAGGCGGTGGGACTGGTGCCGCGCTCGAAGGGGGTGCTGGTGTAGGTCGAGATGAAGACGGTGGTAGCGGAGGAGGCGGTGGTATGTTGTGGACAGGCGGTGGTGTCGGGGCTGCCGATGACTTCGGTGGGAGCGGAGGAGGCGCGGATGGCGTGTCTCTCGCGGGAGGCGGTGGAGGAACTGGCCCTCGGCTTGGGGGTGGTGGAGGTGGGCCGGAGGGTACGCGATTGCCTGTGAAGGGTGGAGGTACACCGAACTTGCCTCCCACTGGCCTCTCTTCGTCGGGTACGGGTGTCTTGGGCGGGCGCGGCGGCGGTGGAGGACCTGGGTTGGCTGCGTTGGATGAGGCTCGCGACCTGCCTGGTGGTGCAGGAGGTAGATTGGCGAACTTTCCTGCTTCCGCAAGTGGTGGAGGCGCTCTGAAGACTGGTTTGGGCGGTCCTGGAGACGGTGAAGCTTCGCGCGGTGGTGATGGTGGCGCAGGGCTTCCTGAAGAGTTGCGATTGAGGGCTGCGTCCGTCCTTGTTCTACGCGCTGGCGGAGGTGCGGGCGGAGGCCCTCGCTTGGAGCCGCCTGTGTTCTGAGGGCTGAGAGATGCGGCCATGGGAGGCGCACTCGGTGGTGGAGGCGGGGGCGCTCTGGACTTGCGCTGATTGTTCTCATCCTTGAGCTTCTCCTCTTGCTTCCGCTGCTCGATGTATAGCTTGATAAAATCGGCGTTTTCTTCGATCTGGTCCTCGGTGATACCCATTGCCAGCAGTTCCTTCAACAGGGGCTGCCATGATGGGTCGGTGGTGTCGATGGCGGAGTTGCGAGCACTTGTGGCGTTGGAGTGGGTGCTCTGCACAGGCGATGTGACGCTGACGGGTGGAATAATGGACGCTGGCGGCGGGCCAGGTGAGGAAGAATGGCGGTCGCGTCCGGTGAGCCTTCCCAGCAGGCCGTGGCCATGGCCCCCGCTCTTTCCGTTGGCTGAGGGCGCGCTGGTACCGGCAGATGCGCTGAAGGGTTTGTTCTTGGTGTTCTTGTGGGCGTTCTTTTCGCGGTCGTCGAGCTTCTTCTTGAACGTCTTGGCCTCCTTCTCGTCGGCAAAGGACAGGCCGGCCAGACAGTCCTCGAGCTCAAAAGTGTGGAAGAAGACGCGGTCCTGGTTGTACGAGAAGGTGTCGTATATCTCCTGGTCCCAGATGACACCGCGACTTTGGGGCTGCATCCGTCAGTCGTGCATTCTGTGCTGTGGCGTGCCTCGCACCTACCGATATGTCCACCATCTTGAGCCAGAAGGTGTTGCCGACCAGGTCGTTGGCCAGCACGACGGCGCCCTGCAGGCCCGTGTAGGTCCATCGGTGCCGGTCCGGGTAGGCGATGTACAACTTGGCGACGGCGACGGTGTGGATCTTGTTGGCCGACTTGGGCACGGTGCGCTTGACCGTCTGCTTGTCCTCGTCGGAGAGAATCGAAGGCATTGCGGCGTGCTTCGCGACCTCGAGCGCGGAATTGGAGGAGGTTTGGGCGTGCTCGAGTGCTCAGCCGTTGGTTGGGCTTGGGCGTGGCTGGTGGGGCGTGCTCCTCACTCCACTATTAGGCAGCACATGGGAAGAGTCGCAGTCGCTTGGTAAGCCAGTCGAGGCTGCGTGCGGATGGCGAGGTGAATGCTGAGGCGCCGCGTGGAGATTGCCACGGTGTTGGTAAGAAGAATGGCGGTGCTGGTGAAGGGGAGACGTCACTTGCGGCTAACCACCCGACTGGGCGGACAAGGGAGAAACCCATCCAACGCTTTCTGCCCCGTCACGTTTGCCGACCCACAGCAACCTCATCTGTAATCCATGGATCCATACAGCGACTTCAAATCATCACGAGATTCCACTTTCACTCTGCTCCTGGAAAATGCAACATTGACCCAAAATTCCCGCCATTGCACCCGCTGAAGGCATCGCGACCTTCTCACACGACATTGCGTCCGCGAGGCCAATGCGGGACCAGTACCCTGTCAAGATGACGACGTCTCAAGCTCCTTTATGCCTCCGCTTCATGCATACATTTGTATGAGAAGACATGCACGCACCCAGAGTTCATGGCCTCTAGCGTCAATTGTCTTTGTAATGCTCGGATCCAGCGCCGCTGACGCCGACTTTCCGACTACAAGGCCTCCAGCAAACGATGACACCTTGACGGCTTGGCATCATCCCAGTCGATTCAGGCAACACCACCGGTGACATGGACTAATGTAGATTGCATCATCATATCTATTTCTTTACTTGACGTGCTCGCAGCTATGGACGATTTGTTTGATGGCTACATTGTGTTGGACGGCATAGGCGACTTCCTTGGGAGCAGCGTTCCTGCCAACGATCCCAAAGCACCTGACGATGTTCCGCAAACGATACACCATGCAGGAGTATCGAAGCAACCCATACGACCAAAAGAAAACAATGTGAACGGATCTGACCAATCGTACGCTTCTCATCCAATGCACAAAACTTTACCTAACTCACATCTAGCAGCACCACCGCCTCTAGCGGCGACACACCCGCACCGACAGGGTTACGACAGCGACGCGGGCACACTAAAAGTCGCCTGGGCTGCATTCCGTGCAAACGACGCAAGATCAAGGTACCGCATCCACTTCCCAGTGCCTCGTCATATCACTAAACTGTGTTAGTGTCCAGAGACATGGCCTTCATGCGCGAACTGCGACAAGCGCGGACGTAAGTGTGGCGTTGTGAACTAAGATCAACATCTCACCAACTATTCTAGTGGTTTGCAGATACCCCGATGTATTCAAGCACGCACGGCGTGACTACATCGAGTCGGCAGTGTCAAGTCCTCGTCAAGTTGTTAAGCTTTCCGACACACCTACTATCTACAGCTCAGAAGATATGCAGCTGTTTCATCACTATCTCGTCTCAGCACATCCTTGGATCCCGCACGACTGGGAAGAGCTTTGGGTCACAGATGTTCCGGCAGCGTGTCATAAAGTGAGTGCAACCTCTGGCTCACCGTGCAAGAGACCTAACATCACTGACCACGCAGTACCCATATCTCATGGATGCTATGCTGGCTCTTGCTGGATCTCATCTTGCCGTTCAAGTTGAAAATCCACAGACTGCCCTGGCGGTCCAACATCGACAAAAAGCCATCGTTGGCCTCGAGGACGCCTTCGCCAATTGGCCCCCGACGGCTGAGGAATCGTATATCATGTTAGCAACTTCTTACCTACTGTGCTTCCAGTCAAGCTACATAGGTGACGGTTTTCTCGAACACTTTTTATCTTTGCGGGGATGCTCATTCCTCTCTCAGCTTATCATAGGCGAAGGCTTTCGCAGCCCTTTCTCTACACAGAAAGGCCTGGACACTATAGCTATGGACACCGCATTTACCAAGTTTCCTGAAGTCGACCAGGAACTTTTGCAAGAAGCTCTACTGTCTTTGAAATCCCTTTCCAGCATAATGGATGGAACTGGTATACATTCCATCGAGAAGGCCATTGTTGGCCAGCTCACCGAAACACTTCGACTCCTGCTGCACTCAGACCTGGAAATCGAAACTGATGAACTTCCAATACCTCGTGACTCGCCGTTGGGTCTCTTTCCGTTCGCTAACCCGATCTTACCACAAGACTTCGGCCTCGCGTTTGACAACATCGACTGGGAGAATGTTACGGATCCTATTCCTGGCGCTCCATACCCCATACGGTCTTTTGCAGCTATGATGGTCATCCTCACGATCTTCTCAACCTGGCCACACGAAGCACTCATGCGCATGTTTGACCGTACCAACCAGCTCGGCAACGTCATCATGGCCCACTTTTGCGCCGTACGATTCATTCTGTCGTCGATAGCTGCTCCAAAAATGGCTTTGAAAACTCCTACAAGAGCGACTGTTCAATGGAATGCTCTGATCATGGCAGCTATAGACGATGATGAAAGTGGAGAATGGACGAAATATGTGGAATGGCCAAGAAAGATATTACGATGTATGGAGGCTTGCTGTGAGAGACACAAAGGCTTTACCATGGATGACGTGCGCAGTATGCTGTTAAATGATCCTGGGGCGTTCAAAGAAGGAAGAGCACGGAGATACTGACCATCGAGACATCACGAATTGGCACACCAGCCTTGTATTGACCACATCGCTTGATCTGATTGCGCTCCACTCCGACTTTGTATTTACTAAGAAAGACATTCACCCACCTCTTATTTTCCGGTACACGTTCACCCAAGTTCATCAGTGAAACTCTCGGTCCGTGCAGTACCCTGCAGGCGCCGCTGCACTACGCCCACCTCTTACAACACTCGTACTATAAATATGGCTCGATCGCGAAGGAATCGCACCAGACCGTTTGCTCAAGTGAATAGGAAAACCATACGGTCGGTGCTCGTTGGCTAGTCCCCGCTATCGCTCTCACCTTCTTCGACCACGACCGAGAAGTACTCCAACTCTCATTCTCCCGCGCAAAGCGAAAGACCCCAACGGCCGCCAGAAACAGCAACACCCACCACCTTCACCATGCTAGAAGCTCTTGTGATGGCTATCTTGAGGTTCTTCGCTCGCATCCTACTACTATGCATCAACTTCTGGACTTTCATCACCAATCTCCCCACGAGATGCAAACGCCTTGTACTAGCCCTTCTTGCTTTCGATCCGAGCGCCTGGATCGGTTCGGCTATGGCGCTTGCCCTATTCGTCCTGTTTCAAAAATGTTACCAGATGATTCTAGAGACCGCGAAGCTCCTCGCGCTCAGAGATGAGCTCGAGGCTGAGCTCGAGCGTCACGTCGCGCGCAGAACAATTAGATGTACGAGTCTTTTTATCTATACTAGAAAATGACTAACATTTTATAGTCAATCGGGTGCGCGCAGGTACTTATGACGAGGGAACTGTCGTGCAGGGTATCCACATCATTGCAGCAGACAAGTGGGACATGGTGATCTGTGGAATGGAGATTGCGGGTGGGCGGCGAGATGGGCATTATTGGGCTCGCATACGTGGAGCGGATGAGTGGATCAAGTTCGGAAGCCAGCTCGTCATCAACGGCAATGATGTTACCGAAGAGGTGGTAAAGTCAGGTGGGCATGTGGATCTCCAATGGGCAGAGACAGAGACACCACCAGAGTACAGACAAGACGCAGAGAGCATCGAGATATAGCGAGGGTTCCACCGGTACACAGGGCTCTTGACGACTACCCAGTCGTCAGCCCAATTCTATTCAAACAAACCGGTTCTACAATCCTAGCCTTATCATCGCATTTACACCTGCACCCCAGCTCTTTCCTCCCATCCCCATCACTGTCCTCATACCTGGGTATCTTGATCCCCCTCGCCTTCTCCTGTTCTGTACTCGCAAAAGTACAAACCTGCAAATCATCATGTATATACCCCCAATCACTAAAATGATGCAATTCCTGTGGCTGCAGCAGCATAGCCGCAGCCAGCGAATGGACAGGCGCATCACCCCACCTCTCGTAGTAGAACCCGCCGTCACGGTCTAGATAATCGAAGACGGCTCGATATGCATCCCCACGGAAGAAATCCATATCCGCAATCTCAAAGTTGGACCAAAAATGACACATATTCCACAGATCACCCCGCTCATCTCTATTGCGCAGCGCAGCCAGCATGCGACGAAAGGGCCACGGCATCCAGCTTGCGTCGATCATGGCAGTCCACAGCGTGGAGGTGGGGAGGCGGTATTCGTTCTTGTAGAGGGAGAGTTTGCGGAAGAGGGAGGGGACGGTTTGGCCGCGCTCCCAGAGGGCGGTTGTGTAGCCGTAGCGTTTCTTGTGGCGCGCCATCTCGACAAAGGGGTCGTAGGTTATGGCGCAGGTGAAGGATATGCTGGGTTCGACGCGCCAGTAGTATTTGTAGGGGAGGAGGGCGGGGTGGTCGTAGAAGAAGCTGTGGGGTTGTTGTCAGTGTTGTGCGCTGGGTATGGGAGAGAGGCTTGGGGTGGACGATGCGACGTACCCAGACTGGAAGCGACACATGTGGTGGTAGCTTTCTAGCCCGCCGTATTGTATGCCCCGGCTCTTCATGTCCTGCATGCTCTTCTTCGCACGGTCTTGGTCGATCCATTCGGGATACCCCCACATCTTCTTGGGTATAACTTCGAACTTGACGTCTGCGCCTTCCCCTACTGCTTTGCCCACTTTCCGCTTGAAGTCCTCAGTCCATTCCTCGTCGTTTAGGAACACCCAGGGATAACCAAAGTTGTCGTTGAATTGTTCTTGCACGCTTCGCACGCTCGAAACCGCACCCTTGACTTCCGAGTTGCGCGCGAGCATCATGAACACGGCAGATTCGCGCGCGGTCGTGTTCAGGACGGGGTCCTGACATCCTGTGTAGAAGGGCGCATCGAGGGGCGGCGACGGGCGGGGGACATCGTATTTGTGTACGTGGACGTATGCTTCGACGAGCAACAAAGAAGCGATAGCCAGGATCAACTTCCAGTGCGACTGCGCTGTGCGCGATAGTGAGCGTAGCGGATGGCTCCCTGGTCGCGTAAGAAGTTTGGGCATAGCGACGAACCCATAATGTTTAACAGGAAGTCGAGAGAGGACACCGTGCGAAAACACGATGAGACTGCCCAGCCCATTCCTTCTTCACGGGTGGCTGCATGATAGCCATCATAGTTGCTGCGCCCGTCCCCTAAGGCCAGATACGGCCTAATTGTCCGCCTGAACAGGGCCGTTCTAGCCGTTTGATTGATGCATCCCCGGACCCCATGGGCGTTAGCAATTGACGGTCAGAGGAACAAACACACGCTTGGATCTGCCCTTTTCCTAGGGCGGGACGAGGATGATAGGAGCATATGGATATCAATGAATGATGTAAATTAGATGCCCGGCATCAAGTCCAGGTGCTGCTCAGTGTGGTACGGTGATGGCAGTACCAACTTAACAGCCAAGGGACCTCGGAAGGAGATGCAGGGCTGCCTAACCATGTCAGGTTAGCCCAGGGCTATCAGGGGGCCTAAACTCGAAAGAGACATGCATGTGTTTACGTACAAATGGCGATTGAGACAGCGTTCTTGAATATCTGTGATTAACTGTGATGCTCTAGAATGGTATGGAGATAGTGCAGCCTTCTGGGCTTGCGCGAAGTGCTGCAGCTGCTTGCGACTATGCTTTGCCTCGTGCCACCACATCTATAGGTACATGTCGGAGATCAATGTCTACGGCAACACGGACATTGAGCGGTAGAATGGATGCGTCGAAGGTTCATTTGGTCACTGCATTCTAAGAGCAACATCTTTGTGCCATCTGGAAGAACATAAAGTAGTAGACTATTCGACGCGCAATGGAGACAGACAACGTGAGTTTAAGAGAGAAGCCACGTAAACATCACTCAGAAAGAAGAGGCTTATCAAACCACCGATCGGTGCGATGTTCATCTTGATCACCAAGAAAAGAAGAATACGAAGCAGGTGTTGCAAATTACTCAAAGGGGCAAAGCATACATACGGAAGCTGAACAGGGTATCGGGTCGTGCAACAGCGATCCACAATGACGTACAACAGGCAGTGGTTCGCAGCGATACGCAACAATCCAAAAGGAGGAATCCAAAGTGTCACAAACGACACGAGAAGGGTACGGCATCCGAAGCAAACTGAGACATGCGCAAAACGAGACGTGGGTATTCCCAAAAGCAAAGGGTCCTGCAAAACGCAACCAAAACGCCATGAGCCGTGGGGCTTTTCAATCTCTCAGGTATCCCCCAATGTTTTCCATGCCGCGAGGCTTTCCATTCTTAGTAGGTATAGTGTGGATATCCGTGGGGACGAGGTATGTCTGTTCGTAGTGGTAAAGGAGTGTAGATAGGTTGGTGGGTGTAAGGTAGCTTGTGGTACTGGGAGGTGCCGGTCCAGCGTACTGGAATGCGTTCATATCCGGCGGTCTAGACGGTCGACGCGCGACTTGAAGCCTTTGACAATCTCTCCAATGCGACGGACTTTGTCGAATTCTACTTGGAGCTCGTCGATTTCGCGGAGGATGGCACGGAAGCGGGCGATTTCAGCGTCGGCCATTTGCATGGCGTTGCCGGCGCGGTCGTACTGTATTTGGGTTGCTGTTTGTGTCTGCTGGGTGAGCTGGCCATTGTCAGTACTACACCACTAACAATCGACACCGTGTGAAGCTATGGACATGACAACTCACATACTGCCAGCGCTGCTGGATGGAGTACATCAGACGGTCAAAGTGGGCGCTGAGCGCCTGCAAACTAGAAGGATCCAGGAGGAGACGGCCTTGGCTGGAGGCGTGAGAGGCAGCGCGCGAGGAATTGGAGCCTTGCTGCGAGGCGGCAATTTGCTGCTGGAGATATCTGCTCTCGCTCGAGTTGAGGCCCAGGTCAGACACTGGGATGGCGGACATGTGCACATAATTATCTTAAGAACATGGTCGATCGGGAAGTCTGCGCCCTGGCTTCCGCGTGTGTGACGGCTGGAGAGGATGCGGGCGGAGCAATTGTTACTAGTGGGCTACGACTGCTGGGAAACGTTACAGCAGGCCTGCGTGGAGGAGGAAGGGGAAATATGCACGCTGATGTGGTTTGGGATGAAAGGGCGAGTGAGATGCGCCAAGCGGCCAGTCCGGCTCCCAAACCCTCTCACCAAAAAGCAAAGGCCTGCGAACGCCCGTCTATCCCACACCCTCATCTCCTCTTAGCCGGCTGCAGCCCTATGTACTGCCGTCCCCATGCGCCCGTACGCAGCCGCCCTGAGCTGTCGCCCAACGTGCACATGCTAACATCCGCGACGCAGCGCGTATCGCACTGGGCGAGCAGGCGGTCAGCGCATTCACCCACTGCGACATGCTGCTGAACCACGACTGCTTGCTTTTGCGCCCGTACGACCATAGCGCTGTGCCGCACTCGAACTTGTCACGCCCATTAAAGCGCGGGATAGTGTCTCCGCACCCACACCCTCTCCACAATCAGCGACAAGGATGCATTGATTGTGCCGCGAGGTTCATGGGTGAATGTTGACCCCACCAGCTCGCATCAGGAGGGGTAGGGTACTCCTGGCAGGCCGTGGGCGAACCAGATGCAGAAGGTGACAATGTTATGAGAGCGTGACGACCATGTGCCGCTGGAGGAGCACTCCAAGTATCAAGCCTCCATGTTCCTACTGCCCGTGGTATGGCACGCGGTGCTTCGCCATGGCGTTGGTGGATGTCGTCTTGCCGAGGCTGAATGCATGCCAGGCAATGCTAGCACAATGTCTCCTGAACGCGTACATTCCGTGTCAGATTTTATGCAAACTCTATGGAGTCAACGAAGCAAAGTTAATTCTTCGTTGAGACAGAGTAAGCTGAACCTTGGATAATTCTAGACTCAATCTTAACATATGCACTGTAAAAGAACTCTTTGTATCATCTAATACAGATAGTTGTAGCACTCGAAGAAACTACGTAACATACAACACAGCCCTTTCGTGGCTGCATTGCCTGTTAGGAGGATTCTTCGACTGCTACAACCACTAATCAAGATGTTATTCGATAGTCTCTAGCTGCGACAGATACTAACGTTGTCGATCATCTTACAGATACAGAGGTATAAAAAGAAAAGAAAAGAAAAGAAAGGGGGTATATACACCAAGCCATCCAAACGCTATGCACAAATGAAGGTAAAGAAAAGTACACCCACGCCTTACAAGGCGTAGTTCTCGGCGTGGAGGAAAATCTCATCGCGCCCACTGTCACTCCACACACTCCTCTGGAGTTGCGCAATCGTCTCACTCACACTAACGCGCATGGTGGGGGGTCCGCAAACGAACACACACGTTCTGCGCCCAAAGTTCTTGCTCAGTCCCTTGAGCAGATATGGTATATCCGGGCGTCCGTACTCGGTGCTCCAGCCATCCTTCTTCTTGACGGCCGCAGGTAGAAATGCGAAGCGCATGAGGTTCTTTTGGAACTCGGTGGGTGTCGACGGGAAACCGAAGTCGAAACCCTGCCCGCCTTCGGTAGGGTTGTGGGAGATGTCCGGATTAATCGCGCCGGAACCCGAAGAGACGGCTTGACTGATGTCGAGGGACAGGTTGCGTTCTTGACGTCGGGCAGCAAGGCCGCGTGGCGCAGGCGCTATAAGATCGGGGTTCGAGCTATGTGCTGATTCGGCAGAGTTTCGCCCGCTATTGTAACTTGGACG